GCATCTTAAATACTCCCCAATTAGAATTTTAAAAACACTCATTTAGATTGGTTTTCCTTAATTTGTCTGAATAATATTTTACACAGTTCTCTGCCTAATGAAAATTCCTTTCTGCAGATAGCAGGTATGCCTTGATTTGTTGACTTTCCTGTGAGCTAGTAAGTCATTGACCCAGAAGTTGCAGTGAAGGTGGTTTGCATCACGAATAGCATAATCATCCCCATAGTAACAGGGAGCCTTCTTGCCTACTACTTCTTCCCATATCTTTGTTAAGTTTAAAGGAGGAAATCATTATTTACTTTAGATTTGATGTTCTGATGTTTTCCAGGACACAAATTCCTAACCTCGGTATTGTTGTGTATAAAACATCCCCATAGCTACAAGAAAAATTGTATTTTTATAAAATAATACCTTACGAAATGAAAAAATGATATGCCAATTCTACAGCATTTTAAGATTCAATACCTTTTTTTCTCAATTTTGCATCCCAATTATGAAGATATTGGAATTAAACTATACTCAGCTAACTGGCTAATTCATGACTCTTACACATTTTGTAAAGGCAACCACTAAGTAGCATTATAGGTTTAATTTGAAAATACGTTTGGGAACACCTGGGTGGCTCAGTCAGTTGGGTGTCTGACTCCTGATTTCAGCTCAGGTCATGATCTCATGATCTCAGGGTCCTGGGATCAAGCCCCACGTCGAGCCTTGTGCTGAGCCCTGTGTTGGTCTCTGTGCTCTGCAGGGAGTCTGCTTGTCTCTCTCCCTCTGCTCCCTTCCCTACCCTCCTGCTCTCTCTCTAAAATAAATAAATGAATAAATAAATAAAATTTTTAAAAGCAGAAAATATGTTTGCTTATTAAAAATAATTCCTGTTCTTTATAGTTAAATTAGAAAATAATGACAGGCCAAACGAAGATTCAATAATGTAGTAATCTCCCTTCCCCATAGCTCATTATGTCTTTCCAATACCTTTCCATTAAGTGTGTCTGTGGGTGTGGTGGTGGCAGAGAAAGGACAAAGAGATAGAAAGGTGCCTTCTCACTCAGGTAACCCTCCACCACCCCCAGCCAATACATTTTGCTCTGTATCTCAAGTTTTTTATTTAACAATATATTGTGGTATAGAATTGTCAAATCACTATATGGTACACTTGAAACTAATATAACACTGTATATTAACTATGCTGGAATTAAAATAAAACAAAATTCAAAAATCATAAAAATAAGGAAAAAGAAAAACCACCCCAACATATCGTGAACATTTTTCAAATATATGGTTGACCCTTGAATAAGACCAGTTTGAACTGTGAGAGTCTACTTATACATGGATTTTTTCCATAATTACAGTAATGTAAATGTAATTTCTCTTCCTTGTGATTTTAATAACATTTCCTTTTCTCTAGCTTACTTTATTGTAAGAATACCGTATATAACATACATAACATACAAAATATGTATTAATTGACTATGCTATTAGCTTTTTGTCAACAGCAGGCTATTAGCAGTTAAGTTTGAGGGAAGTCAAAAGTTATACATGGATTTTTAAATGCATGGGGTTGGCACCCCTAACTCTCTCATTGTTCAGGGGTTAACTGTATTTACTACACTGTCATTTTTATTGGTCGACTAACATAGATGTTTTGTTGAATGACTTTACCATATTTTATTTAACCAACACCACTTTTGTTGGACATTTTAATTTTTTCAGTTTTTCACCAATATCGAACATAAACCCAAAAAGAAAAAGGAGATAAAAAGGGACAGACAGGGGAGGAGGGAGGGAGAGGAGAAGCAAGGAGGGAAACTGCAATAAACATCTTGTGGCATATATCATTAATTACTTCCCGAGTGTATATTTCCTTGGCACTATTTGAAGTGGAATTGCTGGTTAATAGGTATGCATCTTTCAGACATTTTGTCAAAGAGCAATTGAGATTATCCTCTCTAACCCTGGATATTATCTTTTAAAGTAATCCTTACCAATTAAATAGGCAAAGTTGGCATGATAATATGCATTTTTTATTACTGATGTAAAGGAAAAATATTCATCTTTAGTGATCCTTTTTATCCTTTTCTATCCTACCTGCAGAAGTCCTTTACCCAGTTTTCTATTTATCTTTTTCTTGTTGATTTGTAAGACTTCTTAGCCTTTTGTCCTTATCACTCCACCTTTTTAATGTAATCACTACCCACACTGTGGGCTCAAACTCACAATCCTAAGATCAAGAATTGCATGCTCTACTTCCTGAACCAGCCAGGCAGGCACCACACATTTTCTTCTTTCTAATTTGGCATTGTCCTTTAATTTTGGGGTAATTTTTTTTTTCCTTTCCAGTTTGGGACTTGTCTTTTTATTTGTTGGTGATTTCTGAAACAGTTTTTAATTTTTTATGTATTTTATTTATTTTTTATAAGATTTTATTTTTAAGTAATCTCTACACCCAATGTGGGGCTTGAACTTACAACCCCAAGATCAAGAGTCGAATGTTCTACCAGCTAACCCAGCCAAGCACTCCATTTTTAAAATGTATTTTCAAAAATCAATCTTTTGCTTTCCATTTCAAGCAATATATTTCCCATTTCCAAGATTATATAAGTATTTTTAATATTTTCTTTTAATAATATTATGATTTTTTTATATTAAAATCTTTACTCCACCAGGAATTTATTTTGGCACACTTTTTTTTCCTTCAAACAATTAAGCACTATATCCTTAATTTATTGCTTTATTTATACTTTCCTTGCTAATTAGGAATGTCACTTATTGGTGCGCCTGGGTGGCAGCTAACTTCAGTTCAGGTTGATCTCAGAGTCCTGGGATTGAGCCCTGTGTCGGGACTTCTTGCTCAGTGGGGAGTCTGCTTCTCCCTCTCCATCTGCCCCTGTTCCTTTCACAGCTCATGCTCTCTCTCTCAAATAAATAAATAAGTAAAATCTTTTTTAAAAATCCCACTAATTGAGCCTGGGTGGCTCAGTGCGTTAAGCCTCTGTCTTCGGCTCAGGTCATGATCTCAGAGTCCTGGGATCGAGCCCTACATCAGGCTCTCTGCTCAGCAGGGAGCCTGCTTCCTCCTCTCTCTCTGCCTGTCTCTCTGCCTACTTGTGATCTGTCTGTCAAATAAACAAATAAAATCTTTTAAAAAAAAAGCCATTTATCTACCTGTATCTGAATAACTTTGAATTTTAATGTGAAAATATAGAGCTTCTTGATAGATCTAACCATTTTCCCTCTCAATCAGCAATTGTGTGGAAGACAAAGAGATGTCAATTCAAATGCCAGAAAGATACTGAATGAATCTCTGGCTCCTTTTTTTAAAATCAGAAAATGTTCAAAATATTTTAACACTATCATTGCTAAAATCAACTTATGCTATTGAATATTTTTAAGTAAATGTCTTTTTCTTTAATCAAAATGTCTTACCTAATAATTATCTATATATCTTAAATTTTTTATTGCTATGTATCTGGGCTGTAATGACATATATTTTATGATCATATTTTGCTCAGTAAGCGAATAAGATACTCCTAATGTATTATGCATGGTAAGTGCATACATGTATATATTTATCATCACTATTCAGAAGCTAAATATTATTTATGAATTTCAAGTGCTCAACAAATTTTATATACATGGGTAACTTTCAATAAGGTGTTCATAGATCTTAAAGTTAAATGTATTGGTTCATGTCTTTCCAATACAGTCAATATAATTCACCATGGAAACTGAGGTCAACTTTGCTATCCTTTAAATTGAAGCTGCAAACACAGAGAAGCATCTGTGTAAAATTTGGATCTACTTTTGTGCTTTAGATGTTCCTTTGGTCTAAAAAAAATCACACATGCACAAACAAACATACACAGATCACATCTGATCAAAACAATAAAACCTACCTATAGTTTTGGTTAAGATGATAGGTTTGATGGTGAACACTGTAAACTGGGATTTACTTGGAAACAATGACTTTTTCAACCACTTTTCCTGTCATATAGCCAGAATTAAGTCAGTTATGATCATATGTTCCTGAAAATACTGTAATTGGTCATTTAATCCATGTAGGATCTCATTGTGGTAAATGTTGACTTTAACCATGACAGTGATTTAGGTCATATTACATAACCACAGTCATAAGGATAAATCTGCAGAATTTATATTTGGTCACTTCAAGAACGGATAAATATATATATATATATATATATACACACACACACACACACACACACACACTTTTCTTCCCTTATACATATTCTAAGGTACTTTTAGAGATATTTTGGTATATTTGATAAATGTTAAAAATAATACTTGCTATCAAACACCAAGAATAAATCCTGTGTGTGAGCCTGACTGAAAAAAGAGCTACACAGTGATTACCAAGAAAATGGCCTGTGAATAGTTTGGGCAGAATGTCTAAAGCCTGTTCTTTTCCCAGTGCTCACTTACAGTAAAGAAAATAAGCCAGGTCCCTGGGGAATTTAGCCTGAAAAAGGCTTATTTTGCCTCTCCTGAGAGACAAATTTGATTTTATCTGTTGGCTCAAATTACGAATTGTGGCTCTTTTCCAAATCAGGACTTGAGGATTTTTTTTTAATGTATGTTTCTAATTTCCTTCCCTTTAATCATGCTTTCTATGGATTATTGAGAATATCTACCACTCAATCTCCATAGGACTCTCACAGATCGTTTCTATTTTGCCTACTCTAACTTTCTGTTCCATGACAAGAATCGCTTGATCAATTGCCTCCACTTTTCTTATAAAATCCAGACTTCTGAGTGCCTGGGTGGCTTAATCAGTTAGGCAGCTGCTCAGGTCATGATCTTAGGGTGCTGGGATACAGGCCCACACTGAACCCTGCACAGGGCTCCCTGATGAGCGGAGAGTCTGCTTCTCCCACCTTCCTTCTCTTCCCCTCCCCACTCCCCACTTGTGCTCACCTTCCTACTCTCACTCTCTCTCAAAAAAATAAATAAAATCTTAAGAAAAAAAAATCCAGATTTACCTGCCAGTCTTAAGTAGGTGATGATACTTTCCTTTGGATTGTTTCAGGCTTAGAACAATCTTTCCTGACCTGTCTTCTTCAGTTCATACTCTTTGTTATGTTCTTGTATATCACTCCTGGTGTTCATAATCCAAAGTGATGGAGACAGATCTGTGGACCACACATTGCTATTTTCATTTAATGGCTTAGTTCAGATCCTTTTTATTGAAAGATCCAGAAACACAGGAATGATGCAATTATGTCCATCTTATGCACCACTATAAATCCAGTGCCTATCATGGTATGCTTAACACATTTTTATTGAATTAATGATAATGGCCACTGGGGTGCCTGGGTGGTTTAGCCCCTTAAGCATCTGACTCTTGATTTCAGGTCAAGTCATGATCTCAGAATCCTTAGATAAAACCCCACATTGGGCTCAGCACTGGGCATGGAGCCTGCTTAGGATTCTTTCTCTCTGCCCCTCCCCTGTTCTCTTCCTCTCTTAAAAAAAAAAAAAAAAAAAAAGTAATAATAATAACAGCCACTATTTTACAAATCTGCTTATCAAATGACAGGTATTCTACCATGCACAAGGCTATCTTCATTTTATAGATGAAAAGACTTAGAAAAATTAAGCAACTTGTTCTTGTTCACAAGTCTAGCTAAACTTGAAGAGCCAAGACATGATTTTTTTTTTTTTTTAAGCCAAGACATGAGATAATCCTGGATATAAAAGGCTCAGCACCCAGACTCAATTCGCACACCCAGTGCAGTCAATATAACATAACTATGGAGAAGGGTTGTTCTAGAGCCAGACAGCATGAGTTTAAACGCTGACTATCACTTAAGAATTAATCTGAACTCTCTGTGCTTCAGTTTCATCATCTGTAAAATGGAGACTATTTATGGAACAAATACACATTGGTTCCCTGTCCTTCCACCTCAGGGCTGTCTTCAGTTTGCTGCATTCTTTGTTTGGTTTGACACAATCCATGCTGATGATCACCAAGAGCTAAGACCTCCAGAAATGAAGGTCTAAATCACTCTAGCAGGCAAAATCCTCAGGCAGCTGAGACATTAGCTGCAAGCAAGGAAATTTGGAATGGGCCAGTTATACTCTCATTAACAGTAGCAGGAATGAGTAGTCTGCACATATATTGCTGGAATGTCTGAGACTAAAAAATTGCTCTATTTTTTCCCTTTTAAATGAAGAACTATCCTTGTTTTCTTTTTCCTTTCTTTCTGTAGCAACCATTGCCATCCCTGTCTCCAACAATTATTTATAGGGTATACTGGTATAATTATACTGACCATTTAGTCCTCGTATTCCAAGACCATGAGAACCACACCTGGATGAAACTGCCAGAACTGAAGGAATGGGCATTTTACATCCAGAGATCAGGACCAGGAAAGCGACAACCCCAGGACATTCCTTCCTTTAGTTGGAGGTATCTTTGGACTTGGAAAGAACTTGCCTTTGGGCAAGTTCAGGGGCTTTTTGTACTAGAATGGCTAGGTCAAGAAGCTGGAGGCATTTTTTCACTGCACATGTGGGGAAAGGCAAATAAAATAATAAAACACAACAGATTCCCCTTAGGCCAGCCACAACAGCTCACAGGCACACCTCCCTCCCCAGCACAGGGGTGGAGCAGCAGCAAATGTCCACATACATGACTTAGAATCTAGTCATGGCTAAGGGATGGGGGGCAGAAATCTGACCCAAACTGGCCAAACAGACTTGCTCCCCTGTAAAACTGAAATTTTGAACTGAGATGCAAAGAGACAGGGAGTTGTTTACAGTCCACCAGGAAGAGTTTTAGGATTCCTACTACATAATTTCCCTGGCTATACAATCCCCAAAGTCTGTAAGATACTCGAATAGCATTCTGATAAAGTCAACTTGCTGGATCTGTTATTTGCAATCAAAAGAACCTTAACTACTATACTTGCCTGAATAGCTTTCTCTCATGCTATTTCTTCATATGTTCCTTTCCCTACAACACGCCCCCCCCCAATGTCAAAGTTCATCAAGAAGCCACAATGTTCTCTCACTGAGCTTTACCTATTCCCCTGAAAACCTGCTCAAGGATTACCCCCTCTGTGATACTTTCTTTCTTTTAAGATTCTATTTATTTATTTGAGAGAGAGGAAGAGCATGAACTCAGGAGCCAGGGGAAGGGCAGAGGGAGAGGGAGAAGCAGATTCCTCGCTGATTAGAGAGCCAAAGAGGGGCTCCATTGCAGGGCCCCGAGATCATGACCTGAGCCAAAGGCAGATGCTCAACCAACTGAGCCACCCAGGTGCCCTCAACCCTCTGTGATACTTTCAATCATCTCTCCATACTTAAGCCTGTTTTGACTTGAAAGTTCCTCCACTGTGCCCATGGCACCTATTATGCCATAGTCATAGCACTTACCACTCTGCACTGTGGTCCCTGGTTGAATTGCCTGTCTCTCCCATTCAATGGCAAGCTCCTTCATAGAAGGGGCAAGTTCTCGTTTGACTTCATTTCTTTGGTTCCTTGTTTCAGTGCCTGGAACATAGGAGACCCAGTAAGTAAATGGATAAATGAGTAAACAATTTTTGCTTCATCATGAGAACATATTCAGGCTCACTTACTGGAAGAATGTGAGAGATTATGGAAAACAGTCAAGGCCTTTCTAGACCCAAGGACAGAGAGCTGATTCACAAACATGAGAGTTCAGCCAAAATGAGTAGATCCACCTACCAAGCCCATAGCTAACTCAGAAAATGAGTAAACCCAGTTAATTCTAGAAGAGCTACCCAACTAACAAAACATTGACTCATAAGAAATAAAAATGATTATTATTTAACCCACTGACCTTTAGGGTGGCTTGTTAGGCAGCATTTTTGTGGCGATAAATAACTGGTACAATATCTGTGACCTGGGGATCACCAACTTGAGAGCTTTGCTAGCTAAACAAGAGATTTGAAATCCAAGGACAGCCTTTACAAGTCCCATTGTAAATGTGAAGATTGGATATATTTATATCAGTAGAAATGAAATTTCTCATTACTTACTATAAGACATTTTAAAAACTAACATTTTAAAAATACTTTAAAGGAAAATCAAAAGTAAAATTACCAATAACCTCTTTATTCCAACACACCTATGTTAATTTTTGCATATTTCTATGCATTTGCCCATATGCATATGTATTTTCATAGAGTTCCAATAACAACAACTGTTGTATTTTGTGTTAATATTAGAAGAAAGTACCCTATTAATACATAATTATTTTAATGGCTACATAATAGCTCTTCAAATAGTTATAATTAATCATTTCCCAATTAGGTTATTTTGTTGTTGTTGTCGCTGTTATCAACAATGTGATAAAATATAGCTTTTTTTTTTCCTTTGGTATTTTTATTTTTAGGATGAAGACCAGGATGGTGTCTTTCTTGTTTATTGCGCAGGTACCCAGTACTTAGTAAAGTATACAGTAGACACCTAATAAACATTTGTTGGATGAAAGCAATCTATGAATGAACAAATGGGATTTACAGAAATAGGCTTCCTAGTTTCAATTGCTTCAGATGCTTTTTAAATTGTATTATCATGATTAAATTGGACCCCAGGGCGCCTGGGTGGCTCAGTAGGTTAAAGCCTCTGCCTTCAGCTGAGGTCATGATCTCAGGGTCCTGGGATTGAGCCCTACATCGGGCTCTCTGCTCAGCAGATAGCCTGCTTCCTCCCCTCTCTCTCCCTCTCTGCCTGCCTCTCTGCCTACTTGTAAAATAAATAAAATATTAAATAAAAAATAAATAAATAAATTGGACCCCAAATTCACATCATTTTGAAAGAAAATTTTATTTGCATCATGTTTTAAATGTATCACTTATAAACAAAAGGATTTGTTTATTCACTCTAAAAAGTTTGAGTTAGTTGTAAAGTTTACCCATGGAAATTTATCAGTTTTAACTGAATAGGCAAAGAAGGACTCCCAAGGTTTCGTTCATGAAATGCTTGTACAAATATCACTGGTTGAACAGCATCTATTCCAAGTCCTCATTTCTTACTCTGCAACACAGACACTTTTGGGACTTCTTACTTTTCTCAAATTCAGTCAGTTGTATATTGGTTTACGTGACTATGAATTTATACAACTTTCTTGCTATGTTTCTGACCACTCCTTTGCCTTGCCTGTGATCATTCTCCAAAGATTTCCTTAGTCTTTTGCGAATCTCCTTTTGCAATCACTGTTTATAATCACTCGCCTATAATCTTGTCTTCAACCTCTCTTCTCTGTGAAATGTGCCCTAGCTGTGTATCTAAGCCTGACCACTTCATCTGTGCTTTTTTAAGCTCATCCACCTCCATTTCCTAAGACCTTATTTTGCTTATATTTTCCATGTATCCCCGTCACTGGCTCTTTTTCCCTTGAACCTCACATGTCTTCTAGCCTTTGCAATTCTTCCTTGACCTTGCTTCTCCCTCAAGCTATCATCCTATTGCCCTCTTTCAATTTACTTACAAATTTAGAAGGTGTGCTCTATGCTCCTTGGCTCCAGTTCTTCCCCTTAGTCCTCTCTTTTAATTGTTTACATGTTGACATCTGCTCTCTCCTATTGGCCATTTCTGTCGGTGACCCTACATTTGATCTCCTTCCAACAACACCTCTCTGTGGCATTTCACACTCTTGGAACTCTTCCATGGTTTCTTTAAAAAAATTTTTTTTTAATTTATTAATTTATTTTTTAGAGAGAGAAAGAGAGTGAGGGGAGGGGCAGAGGGAGAGGAAGAGAAACAGAGTCTTAAGCAGGCTCCACATCCAGCGCGGAGCTCAATGCTGGGCTCTATCTCACGACCTAGGGATAATGATTTGAGATGAAATCAATAGTCAGACACTTAACTGACTTAGCCATCCAGGCACCCCCTTCATAGTTTCTTTTGTACTATGCTTTTTTATTTCAATCAAGAATTTCCTGAGATATTGTCTTCTTTCTGCTTTTTATTTTTGGACTTCTTTTTTACTCTACCATTGTTAAAAGTCTTTATTTACTTTTAGAGTTAACAAATATTTATTAAGTGCCTAACATGTACTGGGAACTATGCTGGCCCTGGGGATGCAGAAATGAACAAATCAGAAACTCACTAACTATACTATTTACTTCTCCTTCTTCACTGTAGATGCAATCCTATAAATTCTGTTTCCAAATCCCTCTGATCTATTTCCTCTCTCTTATTACCACTGAATCTCTTGTTCAGGTCTACATGATTATTAGCTTGTTTTTGAAATAGGGTAGTAACCAGTGTCCTGTCTCTCTCCATTTCTAGTCCATCTGACATGATATCCCAAACTAATCTTTTTAAATATTTATGTTATTCCCCTTCTCAAAAATGCTCACTGGCTCTTTCCACTGTCTATAGAAGAAACTCCAGACTCCTTAAAAGGATGTTGGAAAGACCTTAGGCTTTGGAGTCAGAAAACTTAGGTTGCATTCCCAATCTGCCTTTACTCATTCTGTGACCTTGAATAAACTTGCTGAGTTTTGATTTTTTTCCCATCTATAAGATGCGATTAATGAGTGGTGATGAAAACCAAATACATATGAAAGTGCTTCATATTTTTTAAGTGTTAGAGTGAATATGTTTTTTTTTCCTTTTTAATTGGTAGTTACCATACTGAAAATGGCCTAAGCTTCAGAGTTAAATAACAGCCTATTTTTAAATTCCAGCTCCATTACTTATTATCTGTGAGATTTAGAACAAATTAGTAAATCTCTCTAAGACTGTTTTGTATCTGTCAAAACACCTTTTTGTATGGATATCTGAAAATTACGTGAAGCAGAGAATACGAAAACTTCTGGCAGTGCATTAATTCATAAAAGGCACTGATTTGTTATCTTTTGGGCCCAACCTCCTTTTCCTGCAGCATATTCCACTCTGCCTCCTTACAAACCCTATTAAACAGAGGCTACTTGAATTTTCCCAATTGAGACAGTGTACTGCACGATAAACAGATCAATGAATAAAAAGTTTCTGCTTCATCATGAGGACGTGCTCATTTCTTCAAGGCTTAGTTAAAATGTTGAGACCACTCTTAAGTCCTACCCTAATTCCTAATCTGTTTCTGAGGTTAAAAGTCATACAATTGTATTTGACTAATTTGCTCTCTTGACTATCTAGGAATCAAACAATCAGGCTCTCCCAGCTCTTTCTGTGAAATAGTTCTTGGAATCACTTTTCTTTTCAATCCTGTTTTGCCATTCCTTCAGTGTAATGATGATTGTTTTTAACAACTGTGACCGTTTATGAACATTGTAGTTCTGGGATAAAGACTTTGTATACATTCTGCCATTTGATCTTTAAAACACCCTGTGAAGCATCTATTCTTATCCTTATTTTATAGATCAGAAAAATCAAGATACAGCTTAGATAAACTGCCTAAGTTACAATTAGTTGAGTGGCAGAGTGGGATCTAAACCCAGATCTGAAGCCAAAGCCTTCAAATGAGTTGGGATTTTTCAGTTGAGTAGAACAAAAGTTGAGTAGAAAAAACAAGGTTTTTTAGAAGAATATTATAAATATATACAGAAAAATAAAGAACCACAGGAAACTGTTTCATGAAGGTCTACTGTCTATTTTGAAAGCAGAATACACTAACATTCTAGCAATCCAGTTATTTTGTTGGGCTCTCTGACATGAGTGTTTGAGGCCCTAAATTTTTTCTCCTTATTTCTCTTGCTCTTATTTCCTAACTTCTTCTTCATTATGTGTTTGACTCTCTCACTTCTCTCTCACTAATGTATAACACGAATGCTTTACTCCAATTAAGGATCCCCTCACTGTTCCAAAACAATTTCTCTCTACAACTTTGTTGAACACACATACTTCCTCCCTTTCTCTCTATCTTTCAAGACTCCTTCATTACTTCTTCCCAATAGCTCCAGTGGATTCTTTAGTGATTACTATGTGTTAAAACCTTTTGCTGACCCATGATGAACCCACAACATGAGTAAGAAATAAATCTTTTGAGATTTATCAAAAAATCTTATCTGAAAAGTGGAGATTAAAATGGTATCTAGCAAATAAAGTCGATCTGAGGATTAAATGAGATAATACAAATAAAAGTACTTAAGTTAAGGGATACCTGCCTTCAGCTCCCGTCAGTCGTTCCTGGGACCCGGCCAGCAACGGGCTACCTGCTCAGCTGGAAGCCTTCTCTTTCTCCCACTCCCCCTGCTTGTGTTCCTTCTCTCACTATGTCTCTGTCTCTGTCAAATAAATAAATAAAATCTTAAAAAAAAAGTACTTATGTTAAATACAGATAAAAGCACTCAGCACAGTGCTAAGGAATAAGTATATAATAGACGTTAGTTATTTTTTTAAAATTTGCATTATCACCAATTAGCAATTGGTCTGTTAGCAATGACAAATGAACATAATGAAGAGTGTTACTGCTTTTTTAAATGTTAACCTTCAAATTCCAAATGTTGTAGATTATTGTCAGTAATTTTAGCTGAAAACCTGGG